CAGGCTCGACCCGACGGTCATCTGGCAACTGGCAGAACCTGGGGGTAAATCCCCAGGCATCCCCTCGTGCGGTAAGAGCTACTGGGGAAAAAGAGAAAGAGAAGGAGAAAATCAAGGCAAATCAAGGCAATCTCGGTTATTCCGAGGAAAGGGGGGGAGAAGATTTCTGCCCCTTTAAACTGAGTAGGAGACTCCAGAGGAGCCCTACGATTAGTGGCAGGGCGGAAGTGGGAGTGGTCGAGGAATCCGAGGGTTCCTTTGGAATTAGAGGGAGCGACCACAGTACGCCGGTCACAGGGAAAGGAGTAGCCTACGCTAAAATGCTGACCAGGAAGGTGGTGGAGGAAAACGTCAACGCTAAATTTGTGAGATCGGATATGGCCAATGAAGCCGAAGATAGCGCGAGAGACGACACGCAGATGAGTGATGTCGACGATGAGGTTGTCATGATTTCCAGGGCTGAGCTGAAAGAGTTCACACAAGCCCTGGCAAGAGCGGTCCAAAAGATTAATGTTGTAGTTAAGACATTAAAGTTGGATAAAGATAAGGATGAGGGGATTAGGGAGATAGGCAATTTGATAAAAGGCATCCTGTCTTCCTTGGACCAATGTGGAACAAAGTTAGGTGTAGATAATCATCGGCTAATTCGTCTTAATTAGGTAATAAAATGAATTAAACTAACGTGGTATATGTATGTCGGAGATGAAAGAACACCGGAGCCTTGGAATTTTGAATAATCTAACGTTAATCATAAAAGTGTACGATTGAGTTCAATTATTTATAGATCACTTAATTAATACTGACAGTATTACAGTATTAAATCTTCTCGTGAAACATGAAACTATATTTCATGTCGTGTAATTGTTTTTTTCAAATTATCTGCTTCGTTGGAGTAAACTCGCGTGAGAATGGGATCACGGGTACCTGTATTATTTAAATTATCCAACACATTATGCAACGTTTCAAAGAAGGTAACAGTGTGCTGAACCATAGTTGTCTGTATGCATCCTGTCAACGAAGCGGTAAAGTAATATGACCATCCCTTATTAAGGACATCGAGAGCAAGTTTACATTTCATTTTATCGAAAGAATCTGACCATATGCGTTTTCTGGTAATTTATAAATTGCTGTATTTATTTTTTTCTAAATTCTACAGTCGGACTAAATCGGACCAAGAAACTAAGGATTCATTATTTGGAAAATTATTTTTAATAAATTATTCTGAATACTCTTGAATAGATGTAAAATATTGAGAAGAAAATAAACTTTCTGGCCATTCGTTATAAAAGGTTTTTGAATAGACAAAATTAGATAAGAACAATTTAGCTATCTTTTCGATTTTTAAGATATGCGTTCTACAGATATCATGATTATAATTATATCAATCATTGACTTACTTATAATGCCTATCGTTGCATTATGGCTGATACTTCAGTTCATAAGTCATAAGCTCAGTCTTTTTTCTTAATTCCTTAAAAAATTGTGCAACTATTAATATATATCTATAATGTATGTGTCGCAGATGAAACTTCCCTTTGGAACTTTGGGAAAATCCCTTAACACAGTAATCTAGATTCTATCGTAGGCGTAATTAAACAATTGTCGTCATTCGATCCGATTGTATTTGTTCGAGATTTGTGATAATAAGCTTGGGCTCGAGGCGACAACAGTCCCGAAAGTAAATGGACTGAGGAGAAGTTTGAGTCAGTATTAAAGAAGAAGTGGAGTGATGTCCAGCGTGAATGGCCTCTCGGCGACTGCGGATGTGGTCAGCCGGGGTGGGATCTAGAGTACGATGACTTTCTTACTACGTTGAGACGCGATGAATTAGCCCCGCATGATCACTGCGACGGTTGTGACTTGGGCAGTGGCGTACTGGAGGACAATCTACACATGCTGATATTTATCTGCGCACCGCATCTGAGGCGTAATCTGTACGTGAAGGCTTGCATTATTTGTACCCTGACGGCCAAGGCTTGCCGCCACGGTGTACAAAAATATCTGAAGGCCAGCACCGGATTGCTGAAGATGGGAGGAGAGAGAATAAGTGTTAGTTAGCATGCGGAATATTATTTACCTTATAAAGACGTCAAAGACTTGATTCCGGAAGTAGATAGGTGGCTATGTTCACTGATAGATCTTGAGGGCCCTATGGGGCGGGACAACTACCTGACGTTAATACAGGAGGAGGTCACTCGATTTATGGAAACTGAATGGCAGGTACCAGACAACATCCCGACCGTAGACTGGGTAAGGGCTGGTAAATGGTTAGAGGGAAAAAGTGGATCGGAGATGAGTACAGTGATGCACGTGGATGGAAAGAGGGTGAAAACGGGGAAGACGAAGGGGGTAATGGGCATTTAATAGGCAGCAGTAAATATTGGTCTGACAGCGATGCGGTTAGAGATTTGGTCACGGCGAGCAGGGAGACCATGGACGTCCTGCAGAAGAGCGAGGATGGGAAGATAAGACCTGTCGCCAAGACCGGCAACTCGGTCAACCGCAAGATGAACTACCTGAGTGAGGAGCTGGAGAGAGGGTTGCACGGGAGTAAATTAAGCACGTTGTTCGCGGGTGAGCTTGGGAACGAGGCAATTGGCATGGATCTAATCGATGCGGCGAGAAATTTCTGTACATGGAAAGTGCCCCTTGATCAAGGAGGCTTTGACCAGCATCAGAAAAAAGCGGTGATAGCGGTGGCGCTATTTTGCATAGGCAGACATCTTTTAAAATTTGTGCCGTAAATAAGAATAGCTATTTCTATAATCAATCTTACTTTGTCAGGGGGAAAGAGGATAAATTTCTTTATCACTGACAGGGCTAAGCATGCAGTACCTACAAATGAAATACGTTGGCTCACCTTACCAGCGTGATATGGGTGATTGGTTTAAGTGGGACTCAGCAGATGGTTGCCATACCGACTAAAAACCTCTCCTCTATCCGCTCTTCTTATGGCACAGGTACCAACCCCGGAACTGCCTTTAGGTATTACTTGAGGGTTGGCCCTAACTTCCTATTCTTCTTCTCCTTTCTACGTCCATCTCCTGTTTCTGTCTCGTCTTCATAATTCATCTGCACAGTGCGTAGAACTTATTCCAGTTATCCTCTTCCTTAATTACCTCCTCAATAACATTTCCCCTCGTCAATGTCGTGCCAACATAGCTCTCCAGTTCGGTCCTATCGAGGACCTACCTAGGGCAGTGAAACAACGCATGCTCCGAGTCGTCTACTTCCGTGTCGCAATCCCAGTATCTGGAGTGAACTTCTTTGCTGATCGTCCTACGGTACACGTTGAATATCCCACGCCCAGTCAACAGTTGCATCGTCCAATGATAAATATATCTTTTGTATTTCTTAAACGTACAAGCGTCATTTACTAACTTCTTGGTCCAATTATCTTCTCCATACACACTCCATTTATCCCTCTACCTGCCGTCTATATGTTCTTCCACTGTTCCCATCCTTTCCACAAAATTTTTAGCAATTTCTGCTCTAGACTCGTCAATATGCACAGCGCTGCACGCGACACAGTTCTGTAGGCCGTAGACGATCTCATAAGTGCGGCCCTTTGTGTCCTCTTCAAGGTGTTTTTATTCCTCTTGGTCAACAGCGCTTTGGCCCATACCGGGGACGCATAAAGCACCGCCGACTCCCATATTCCATAGTAAAGCTTCCTGACTGAGCCAATTTGACCAGGGTGATATGCCTGGTAGTTATTTATTTATAGGGCTGCAGTGACATTCCTTAAATTAAATTCAATTAATTACATTGAATAATACTGAGTGAATTTAATTAACGATTGCACTTGAGCCTATGATACTTGCCAGTTACAGTGCAGGTAATAAGTTGAATGGCTAATGTTGACGTTTGGGTTGTTGACGAGCGTGTACCATTGTTAATGCTGTTGTTAGTAATGTTGTTAGTAAGAATCCATGGGATGACAGATGCCTTGTTGTTGCTGGACCCTTGACAAGATCGTATTGCGATTTGTATAACCTTGACAAGATCGAATTGCGATTTATATAACCATTTTGCAATACCGCTTGATCGGCGCGAGTAGAGGCGACGCTTACGGTGACTGGCAATCGGCGCCATGTTGTGATAGTGATCTGCTCTTCAGAGTTCGATTTCGAGATCACTGCGTCTGTGTCGGACGAGAATGCCGTTGTTACGTTTTGTCT